TATTTCTATTTGTTCCAATAGAATTCCCACAATATTGTATTTTGTTTTGTTTTGTTTTGTTTTTGGTACCGGAGATCAAACTTGGGTCCTTGTGCTTGTGAGGTAGGTGGCAGAACCACTGAGCTAAATCCCTGGCCCTCCTACAATATGGTTTTGCACATCCTTTGCCTAGTTGATCCCAAACTGCTTGAGACCGAGTGGCAAGTGACTCCTGAAGAAACTGTGCTAAAATGTCTGGAGGGATCCACCATTTAGATTCACACTACTGTCTGTGTTCACAGATTTTAGCCAAGGTGAACATCTGGTTTGTCATCTGGTTTGTTCTAAGCTTCTATGATCTTCTGAGCCACAAACCCAGTACATCCCTGAGAGGGCATCAGTTGGGGAATCCCCCAGCATGCCGGTCTTTATTGTGGATTCTTATGAAGGATCACCAAAATTTCCCCCCTCCTCCATGGCAGGAGGCCAGCATAGCTCCAGTTTGATTAATGTGTCTTGGCTAATTGTGTGAAAGATGGTAGTCATTTAGCAAGTGTGACCAGTTTATTGTCCAACCAATCAGGGCACCTTGGTTAGCATGTGAAAAGGGGGTGTGTTGCCTGGGGAGGGTGAGTGTTCTGGCAGCTGAGTCAAAGGAGGAGTATTTTGGGGGGTCACAGAACAACACCCACTTCTTTGAGGGGATGTTACTATGCTCTACTAAACCTGTAAACCTCTACTCAAAGCACTTCTTTCCTCCTCCCTCTTTTTTCAAGATCTTTTTTTCCCATGGTGCAAGACACTGGCTACTCTGCTGATGGAGTTCACGTTCCAGGGTTTTTAATATTTCACTTTTATATTTCTGTTCGAGAATGATCCTGCTGAGAGTCTGGGGATCTGGGCTCGTCAGAACCCCCCCATTGACACGTGGATATATTGCTCTGAAAGCTATCCCAGGAGAAAAGATTAAACAAAAAAGGCCTACTTTTCAAAGCCTACTTCTCAATCTGCCCACATCAAAATAAGACAACTGGCCCTTTGAAGTGGAGGACACAGAGTTCTCAGTCAGCTTGCTTAAAGTGGGGAGTGGGGGAGAAAGGAAGACAAGAATGAAGGAGCCAGTTTTAAAACTGATATCCCCTTCTCTCACCTTGCCAGATTTGATCAGGCACAAGAGTCTGCACTGATGGGTAGAACACTTACTACCCTGACAAGAGCCCCCAAAAAGATGAATGGCAGGGAAATCTCACAACTAAGTCAGCACCTGGGTGAGTTTTAAAAACCTGCACATAAGTTGAACAGAAACTGTGTTGTCCTCCTAGACAGAACCTAGACAAGGCATTGAAATGGTAGAGTGCATATGGATGAACAGTAGATGGTTCTCCCAAGTTCAGAGCAATTGAGCTCCCCCAAAATTGTACTGTTTAAAGAATACATAAGGGACTCAAACAACTCAATAGCACAAAATCAAATCATCCAACTTAGAAAGGAGCCAATGACCAGAACGGACATTTATTGAAAGAAAACACAAACAGACCACAAGCACATGAAACATGCTCAACATCTCTGAACATCAGGAAAATGCAAATCAAAGCTATAAGGAGGTATCACCTAACTCCAGTTAGAATGGCTATTATAAAAAAAGACAAAAAATAACAAATGCTGGATAGGACACAGAGAAAGGAGAACTCTCACACGCTACTGATGGGAATTGATGGGTATAAATAAGTATAGACATCACGGAAAAAAGTATGGAAGTTTCTCAAAAAAAAAAATAGAACTAGAATTTTCATAGAGTCCTGTAATCCCACAACTGGGTATATATCCAAAGGAACGGAAATCACCGTGTCAAAGACACATCTGCACTTGCATGTTTATTGCAGCACTATTCACAACAGCAAGATATGCAATCAATCTAGGTGTCCATTGGCAGATGAATGGATAAAGTAAAGGCGGTATTCATACACAATACTATTTGGTCATAAAAAAGTGAGATCTTGTCATGTGCAGCAACATGGATGGAACTGGAGGATGACATGGTAAGCGAATTAAGTCAAGCACAGAAAGACAAATGACATGCTTACAAGTTTTCACTTATATGTGGAACCTAAAATGTTGATCTCATAGGAATAGAGAATAGAACAGTCGTTATCAGAGCCAGGGAATGGTGTGGGGGAGGAAGGATTGGGGAGAGAATGGTTACAGGGGTACAGCTGGAGAGGAAGACTAACTTCTAATGTTCTATAGCACAGCAGGTTAACTATGGTTGGCAACATTTAATTGAGTATTTAAAAATTGCCAAGAGGACTTTTAATGTTTTAACACAAGGGAATGAAAATGTTGGAAGCACTTGATATGCCAATTACTCTGATCTAATTACACATTGTATACATGTATTGAAATGTCACACCGTAGCTCATAAATATAGACAATTATTATGTGTTAATTAAAAATAAAAAATATATTTTTAAAATTGGACTGTCTGAATTCAAAGTTTAAGAGCTCTTACTACTATCTGGAATGAGAGGAAGGAATGGAAGTCTTTTTTTTTCAGTGCCGGGGATTGAACTCAGGACCTTGCACTTGCCAGGCAGGCATGGTGCCACTGAACCACATCCCTGGGCCTAGAATAGAAGTCTTGTTCCAAATGGTGTTAACACAGTTCTTATCTGTGACAATATTTTTCTGGCTCCCATCTTCTCTTCAGTTCCCCTTAAATTCTTGAAGTTCAAATGTGTGGAAGCAGCAGCAGCAGCAGCAGCAGCAGCAGCAGCTCAGGAATGGGGATGGTTGGGTGGGGGACTCCAGAGGGACTTATGGTTTAATAAGGGGATATTCCTGGACAGATCTCGATGGCTCTTTAAAACATAGACCTTATGATTGGGTTATTAATAGTACTGACCCCATGCCCAAGATATGCTGGATTCTTAAGATTTACAAAGGCATGTTTGGACATCCTGGCTGTGGCTAAGGTTACAATTCCCTTCCTTCCATAAGCTCAACCTGGCCCACAGTCACAAGCTTCCCAAGCCCATGGAAGCTGGGCTTATAAATGAGCACCCTGGTGTCAAGGAGAACCAGTGAAAGAACATGGATGAATGAATCAAACCCAAGCTTTAGAGAGCTGAGAATGTACTGTATCCATCTGTGGAGTACAGCACCATGTATAGTGACTAGCAGACAGTAGGTGCTCAAAATTTTTTGACTCATTGGAATTAAATTGAGCCCTTACTGGAAAAACAATGCAAATTGGAAACCCTATTGATTGAGGCTGGAGAATGTTTCTTCATAGGTGCAAAATTATACGTTATTTTGACATGACAACAAAATGAAAAATGTAACATATTTCTTTCTGTTTTATTACAGCCTAGTTCTTTTATTTAGTTCAGAATCTGGCAGGCAAGCATTTCGGCCACACTTCTACCACTGCTGTTCTCATCAAGACATTTTGTGTTAAGGATCTACATTTATTATCTGGACCGACCTGAAACTGAAATGTTTGAAGTTTGGGGAAGGAATAGCATATGCTCACCATGACATCTTTGTATTGATATCATCCAGAATGTTTTCTGTGAGTCTAAACTTCACTTATATCCATGATAGGAAGCTGAGGAAAGGAAAGGGGCCCTATTATCAGCACAATGAAGAAAAGAGTGTACAGAGACGAACAGGCAGGAAACCTTGGTAATCTGAGACAGGAGTTACTACAGACTGGACTGTGAGCATCACAAAAAGCTTTCACATTTTCACTGTATCTCACAAGAAAGGGGGAAAGGCACTATTCGGAGTCCTATGGCCAGAGTGGCATTTTTCTTAGATATTGAACTCTAGCAAAATGGTTAGAAATAGTAAACACTTGTAAATGACTCTAAGGCAATTTAACAATGGATATGATCACTTATGGAGCAATTGAAAGGACTTTGCAGTTAGTCTTATAGCTCTCTGTTGGGGTTTCTATAAACCTGGCCAGTTCAAGATGCCCAATCCCCATGTATAGCTGTTTGAGTAAAACTATTAGACACTGGACTATAAAAAAGGGACCCCCCCCTCAGCCTCCTATGTCTTTCATTTTCTTCTTTAATTGCATCTTTAATCTTCTAACAATTTCTTTTCTCACAAAACCCTTGCAGGATAATATAATACTAAATATTGTAAAAGGCAACAATTTGGGAAGATGTGGCGTTTAGTAATAAGATGATGTAAAAATATGAAGACTAGAAAATCTGACCAGGAGCACATTCATCGTAACTCTGTCCTTAGCTGTACATATCTGCCTCCTCTTTAATCCTGCCAATGAGTGTCTTGCTTTGACATGGTCTTTACTTGCTTCTCCAGCTTCTGACATGGTTCTTCAACCTGTGGCTCATTATGTGTCTCCTCCCTTCTCTCTCAATGTCCTTGAGGTGATTGTTAGGTAATTTGACTCTTCTACTGTGGCCTTCAGATCACTTCTCAAAGGTTTTACGCATTGACGATGCTTGTAACACTTCCAAACCTATCCCCAGCACACAGTCTTGGAAGATGAACTATGTGACAGATATGAAAAAGTGGCCAGTGTAGAGTCCATGGGTGAGTTCTTGTTAAGTGCAATCTAGAGACATCTTACCTGGCTTGTTGTATGCCTAGCAAGCCTTTAACTCCACTCTGAGGCTTAGCTTTCTCTCTATACTTTAGGAGGCTCAATGTTCTAACAAACTAACTCAATGATACTCAGGATGCACAAAAATAGACCATCTTTTTTGAGTTGTTCTTTTGAGCTATTGGGTATTTGGAATCGGATGTGGAATTTACAGTGATAGTCATTTCAAATTATTTTTCATCTTACTACCTGGAGTTGGAGAACTGATCTAACCTTAAATACTATTTCAATGTCTTTCTCATAGAAGTATTTGTCAGGAAACACACAAATCTGGAAATCCATCTTGGCTCTTAAATTCACAATACAGATGGACACTCTGAGTGGCAATGCTCTCCTGACATTGCTAGTTCTCAGAGTGTTCAGAAACGTGGGTCAGTATTACCTGGGTTGTAGTTAGGCAGTTTGGAGACTCCAGGCCAGGTGTCCTCAGTAGGGACTCCCAACACCTATGTAAAACCAGAGAAAGACAAAGAAAGGTTAAAGGGCAGACTAGATTGGTGGAGCAGATACAGAGACATAATGAGATCAGAGAAGAATGTAGAAGAACTTGATTATGTTACAGTATGTATTTTTAGTCTATTGGACAAGCTCTAGAATGTTCCAATGGTCCTAAACCTGTCTTTATCAACTCACTTGTTATTCTGATGCAGATGATACAGCCTGGCTTAAAGTCATCCTCATGTGTAAATATTTACCACATGATCACCAATGTATGAGGATGTCATGTTGGCAATTAGGGATATAAAGAAACAGGAGTGACCATCCCTTTGCCTTACATCACATTACCACCAGGATATTAACAGGAGACGCTTGACAGCTCAAATTATGCCGGGGCATGGGTGTTTAGCTATCCCTCAATGTGCTCAAATTAAAAAGGGTTCAGATTACTGACCTTTAGGCAGTGAACGTTGGCTAAAAGCGACTTGAGCCTAAACTAATCCTTTCTACCAAATCCATTTCATATTCTTGTTTTCTCTGTGTCCAGCAGCTTAGAGTATGGTATTTGATGTTTCATTGGTGGAGCATAGCGGTAACATCATTTGAAAAAGAACTAGCCTGTGCTTTAGATGAAAAAAATCGAAGCTCTAGTTTTTAATTAAGATGTTGTATTAAAATAAAGTCTTTTGGAACACAAAGCCAAAACAGAATTTGGATGGAAGTGTCATTATAAGTTCCTCTAAAGGTATTATCTTATCATTCTTTTAAGATAATAATAAAAGCCCATGGTCTCCAGGAGTCTGAATGATACTGTTTTTTATGAAATATTGTAAAGCCCTGCAGCTTTCATCACACCGTTACAATATAACTCTTTTAGAAGCACATCTCAGTATAACTCCTGGGAAACCTCTCTCATGGAAAGGGTCAGAGAATCCATCTGTGAAATGCTGAATATAGATGTTGACACAATTTTCACGGCAGGATGTTAATTGTCCAGCAATGATTGCATAGAATCAATGAAGAGTCCAGAATCTTAAATCTATCAGTGTGCTGACTAGGACTCTGGCTCAGAGGTATACTTTAGGGAGCCTGTTATGCTTGTCCTCAAACAAAAGATACCGAAGTGCTGTTTTTCCTTTTATAATATATATTTTAAAATCATGCCACCCAGTAAAATCTTTTGATTTGATCCATTTTCTAAACAAACTAAAAAGCAACTGAGAGGATTATAGGCTTTTTCTATCAACCACCCTGAGCCTGAGGGAAGACTAAGAGTCCTGGAATCCATTTTGAAAAACCAACTGGACTAATTCTTCTTTTGTGAATGAGGGCCAGAGGACAGAAGCTAATTCTTCTTTTTCAACCTAGCATCCTCTCTATTTGAAAAAATGCATGTGTAAACAAGTGGGTGTCATTCATGGGTACCCATTCATCTTTTGTTGGCTGGCAAAGCATAATGAAAAGAAAGCAAAGATAATGAAGAGAAAACAATGGAGGAAATAAATAATAACCACATCCATATTTTCTCTAAGGTGAACATTACCAGACTTGTTGGTAATTCTGTTTTATGTCTAACTAATGTCAACAAAATAGATACCAAATTTTTTGAAAAATCTTATGTCAAAAGTTTTAAACTTCAGATTTTAGAAATTTAAACAAAAATCCAACATAGTTTTATTTAGAAATTTGATACTCAGTTTCTATTTGAAAGTTGTAGAATTCTTTTTCACTTGAGAAAATGACTAAATCTTCCCTTTGCCTTTGGGAAACTGAAAACAAAGAATCGTTGTTTATCACCTCCCTGAAGGCACTAACAAGACAGCCAGTGGGTTCTGTGTTTCAGACCACAGTGGCTGGAGGGGTGTCGACCTGCTTCTGTAGGAATGGAAATGTAGGAAAGGCATTTTGATTAATGTACTTAAAAGTCTGCATAGTTTATTCTGATTTTAGAACCAAATCCAGGATTATTTACAAAAACACTTATTGAAAAATTAGATTTTTAAAAACTGGTTAAAAACCGTTGACAGTTATTATTTAGTTGTAAACACAGAAGACCAGAAAGATGATAAAATACAGATTTAAGACTTCTCATTTTTTTTGGTAGGGGGATTGAACTCTGGACCTTGTGCTTGCAAGGCAGGCAGCAGCACCACTGAGCTACATCTCCAGCCCAAGACTTCACCTTTTGTCTTTGTTCTTAAGAATGAGATCTCAGGGTAACTGTAGAGGAAAAATGTGGTTATAGGTTGAGAAGTTTAGAATAGGTCCATTGATTTCAAAAAAGCGATTCTTATGTCAAATATCACAGAACCTCAAATAGCTTTGCTCTTTTTATCTATGCAAACCACCTTTAGTAAAACATAAATTCAGGTACTATTTGTAATCTGTTTGATTTTCTAACCTATTGCACAGATAACAATAATGAAAACAGACAAATGTGACTGCATGAATTTAAAAAGCTAACAAACTAAAAAGCTAAAAAATTAAAAAGAAACTAATAAAGAGATAACTTATGGAATAAAAGAAAATGTTTGCAAATCACACATCTAATAAATGGTTAATATCTAAAGTATATAAGAAACTCAAAGAACTCAATAGCCTGATTAAAAACCTGAACAAATAACCTGATTAAAAAATAGATAAAGAATCTCAATAAATATTTCTTAAAAAAGGACATACAAATGGCCAGCAGACATATAAAAAATGTTCAACACCACTAATCATCAGAGAAATGCTGGTTAGGACCACAGTTAATTCTGGTTAGGACTATAGAAATATCACTTCATGACTGCTGGAATGGCTTCTATAAAAAAAACAAACCAAAAAACCAAAAGATGGGGCTGGGGATTTAGCTCAGTGGTGCCTCTGCCTGCCTCATAAGTGCAAGGTCCTGAGTTTGATCCCTGGTGCCAAAGTAAAAACAAAAACAAAAGATAGTGTTGGTGGGATATGGAGAAAAGGTAATCCCTTGCATTCTGTTGGTGGAAATGTTAATTAGTACATCATTATGAAGTTTGGTATGAAGGTTCTACAACAAATTAGAAATGAAACTACTATATGATCCAATAATCCCATGTATCCAAAGGAAATGAAATTAATATGTAGAAGAGACATTTGTACTCCCGTGTTTACTTCAGCATTATTGATAATAACCAAGTTATGAAACTGACTTAAGTGTCCATCAACAAATGAATGGATAAAGAAATGTACATAAACACAATGGGGTACAGCCTTATAAAAGAAGGAAATCCTGTTATTGGTGGCAACATAGATAAAACCTGTAAGATACTATGTTAAGTAATGTAGCCCAGGCACAGAAAGAAAAACGCTTCATGATCTCTTGTGTGGAATCTAAAGAAGTTGAATTCATAGAAATTGAGAATAGAAAGCTGGTTACCAAGAATTGTGGGATGGATGGGGAGGATAAAAATTGCTTGAAGGATAAAAATTTTCAATTAGATATGAGGAATAAGTTTGAGAATTCTATAATACAACATGAAGACTATAGTTAATAATATATTGTGTTCTTGAAAGTCACTGAGATTTTAAGTACTTTAAGTATTTTCACCACAGAAAAGGATAAATATGGGAAGTGCTATATATGTTAGTTAGCTTAACTTAGCCATTGCACAATGTATGCACATTTTAAAACATCGTATTGGAGCTGTGGTGTAGCTAGTTGTTAGAGCCCCTGCCTAGCATGTGCAAAGCCCTGGCTTCCATCCCAGTACTTTAAAAATAAATCATGTACATGATAAATACATACAGGTTTTATTTGTCAATTATAAAAGAAAAAAATCAGTTCAGACTCAAGGCTCATACCCACTGTTACTCAGATGTGTAATACAGCCATATGGATAAGCTTAGTATAGACATTGTGATGCCATCAAATGCAACATCAGTGGCTTCATCCCACATCCCACCAAGCTTTTCTTTTCTGTGGAATTTTTGCTGTAACTTCATCTGTGCGACCTTGGATACGTTGAAACTACACTGGGACATTATTTCCTCACCTGTAAAAACAAAAGTCTCGAATACACAGTTAAATAGTCCCTTCTTGGCTTCCTTCATGGCCTAAATTTTGGTAATACATATCAGTTACCATTATATTTTACATATGGAGACCAAAGAGAAATACAATTATTATATTATTATTATTATTAGCACCTATCATAGGCCAGTCACCGCACTAGGAAAAAAATTCTATCCTGCTTGAGACATAGCAATATAGAAAATAGCAAAGCTGTGGAATGTGGTGATTTTCTTATTTTTTCTTATTTTTTCCTCAGAGTGTGGAACAGATGCAACAACAGAGCTGCTTGGATAGAACCATGAGAAAATGAGATTTAATGAACCTGACCTCCTGGTGCTCATAATATGCTAATCAATGTAGCACTCTCTGAAGCACAGGCCAAAAGTTAACATGAGCGAGACAACTGCACAAACTTGAGAAATAACCAAGGGGGAAGATATAATGGATAGAGAAAAATACGACTACAAATGATAGGTGCTCCCATGTTCTCTTTGCACTTTGTTTATTTATAGAAATCACAACTTCTCAGAGTCAGAGAACCAAATACAATTTAAGAAGCTGTAACCCAGGAAGGTTGGATACAGACTTGGTCTACCTCATACCTAAAGTTAGAGCTGAGTTCAGAATTCATGATTCCTGCCTCCAGGCCAAGTGTTATTTCTTCTTCTTCTTCTTTTTTTTGGAATGGGGGATTGAAATCGGGTCCTTGTGATTGCAAGGCAGGCAGCAGAACCACTGAGCTAAATCCCCAGCCCCAAGTGTTACTTCTAATACATTTAGTTGTTTTAATTTGTAATGAATTGCCATAAATGTCAAAATAAAGTCCCTTTGATTTACAGCAGTGTGATAAAGATAGTGGAAAACAAAAATGTGACTCCCTGGGAAGAACCTGTTGGACTGATGTGTTAAGATATGTTTTCTTTTTCCATATCACTCATTTTTTGGTACTTTATATCCAGACTGATGTCTAACATCTTTTATCACTGAATTACCTAACACATCCTTCATGTGGCCAGCATCAGTTAGCAAGGTCAGATCTGGAAATCTACACTAAGAACTAGAAGGTCATCAGGTCCCTCGAAACATTTAGCACACTCTTTCTGTTCTGTAATTTCTAAATGCTATGCCAAATGCAAAGAATTGTAAAATAATTGCTTTCTAAATGTGTGGTCATTTGAATAGTACATAGTATTTTTTAAAAAGCAGTTATACACTACTCTTCAAATTCTAATAACACATACATTTTTTTTCAAATATACTACTTTTCAAATATCCTAATAGCACATCTTATTTCAGTATTACAATTTACATTAGCTATCTATACATACATTTTTAAACATATATACACAGTGTATGTTTCTTCCACATATATTTATCCATCACCCCACCAAGACTTAACAACACTTGAAAACACAGATCCTTCATTTTTTCTTATTTTCTTTTTTCCACAACTTGCTGGTTCTTATAAGCTCCTGAAAAGTTCTTATATATATGGTGGATGTCCAGTAAGTATTAAATAAATGGAAAACTTTTAAATATTTAAAGAATCATTGCAATGTGAGGTCTAGGTAGATCTGGTTATACTTCCTCTACTATGGACAAGAAATAATTCCACTAAATGGAAAAAGGGAACAGTTAGGTTAAATACCAGGTAATGCTTTTTAGCAATTGAGTTATTGAAACATCCCTATAACAACTTAATTGAAAGAAGAAAGCAAATATATTTATAGAGCACTTATGGTGCATGGAGTGTGGTGCACATTAGATCTTGTGAAATTTTCACAGCAAGGTTAGAAAGTCACTTAGCAGATGAAGAAACTAAAGCTCAGATTTACTACATAACTTGCCCAAACACACGTTTAGAAAGTGGCTAGCATTTAAACGTAGGTCTTCTGACTCCAAAGTCATTACTGTAAGCTGCCTCCAGCTTAGATGATGTTACAACATCTAATGATATGTTTAAAGGTATCATTCATCTGTCTTGCTAAAAACAGTTGTAAGAAAAGTTGGAGAAATGTTTTAATTCTTGAATGTTTCCCAGTTTGTTCCATGTTTCTTCATAATATTCTCCATGTTTTCAAAAGAAAATTTACTGCTTGTAATTAATCTCTACACAATGTCTTCATTCCCCAAAGAACATTTTTTTTTTTTTACTGAATCATTGAAATTTACTTTCAACAGGCTTGCACTGAATTTTACAGTCACTTGGAAATCTTCTTAGACTGTGACTGAATGGATGCAAGAGATTTTCTGAAGGTAGACTGAATATCTAATTGGAGCAGTCTAGGAATATCTGGGTACCCACCCAGCTGAGCCCAGAGTGATGTTATTGATGTCTTCTCTGTTATTGGGTAGCTTGAGGTGGACAGATCAGCATTCCAAATGGCCTCCCTCAGAGCTTCTTTCTATCTGGCACACTGGATCAGCCTATAGGCAATGTACTTTCGGAGCAGGTATCCCAGCCGGACTGTGTCCATATGAAGTGTTCCAATTATGAGATTCCTAGCTGTTGTGTATTGCTGTGATGGGAGCCCAGAAGTCTTTGTGGCCTGACTTAATAATTCCAGGTTCTTCCTCTGAGCCTTCACATCAACAAAATACCTCTTCTCCAAAATCTCTTTAGGAGAGGAAGGAGGCACCATCATGGGTTTCTTGGTACCTGAAACTGAAGTCAGTATACAGGGCTGGTCTGTAGAGGGGAATAGGGATTTCTGGTCCCCTTCAGGTGAGTTCTGTGGCATTTTGGGTTGCTGAGTAATAAGAGAAGGTAATGAGGTAGGTTTCATGAAAGTGGGAAGGACTGCCTCATCAACGTAAGGGGTTTGTGAAACTGGTGTCCTGTAACTGGTGAGAGATGACTGAAGTTCCCAAAGAACATTTTTTTAGGTATAAGACAAGGAACAAGATTGAGAAAAGTTAGTGATAAAATGAAGAAATGAGGTAGAGACAACTAATGAAAGAAACAGAATTACATGTACGTACCCTGTTACGTAGATGTTTGGTTGCGAATGGGCATGATAAATAGTATACTTCTCTCAAACTAACATGGAAGTCTCTGTTTAATCAGGGTTCTACAAAAATTGAGTCTCTTAATTCAGTTGATGAAGATCCAGAGCCAAATATATGGTAGAATTAAGGCTGAGATGATAAGGCAGAATGTCTAAATAAGTAGTAATGGCAGAAACTGCCTCAAGAGATTGAGACAGTAATAATTCTAGGAAGCAGGAGACCCAACTGTCAAATGGGGTGCCTTCATGGGCTGCTATGGGACAGCAGGCATTTTCCTAACCACTCATCCCTGCTGTGCTTATTCCTGTGGCAAATACCACAGTTTTTATGAGCTTAATATATGGCTCCATGTCTTGAAGCAGATGGATTGTTTCACTTGTGTGGAAGGCAAATTTGGTTCAAAGTTTGACAAGTAGATGTTTCTTTTTTTCTTAAGAAGAATTTTTCTCTTACCTTCCAGATCCTTTCCAGCTGTTCAAGGACGTTGGAAACCCCAGGAAACAAAGGCTGACCTTGGAACATTTCAATAAAGATGCAGCCTGCACCCCTAGCAGAGGAAACAAGACATCTTCAAGGAAATGGTACATGCAAAACTGAACCACTGGAAATCTCCAACTGAGAAATATTTTGGGGACTTTTAAATAGGGGTCACATGCCACTAAAAGTCTTGGGAAGCCAGGTGCAGTGGTGCATGCCTGTAATTCCAGCTACTTGGGAGACTGAGGTAAGAGAACTGCAATTTGAGGCCAATCCGGACAATTTAGTGAGACTGTCTGAATAAAAGAAAAATTAAAAGGGCTGGGAGTATAGGTCAGGACTCCCTGAGTTCAAGCCCCAGTATGAGAGAAAGGGGGGTGGGGTGGGGAATATCCTGGAGAAAAATAGTTCATATGTGAAATAAAAGAAAGGATAGCTTGTAGCTTTTTGTTAAAGTGAAACAAAACCAGCAGTATTTAGAAGCAGTATAGTTCTCAAACATCTTAAGCCATTCAAATTTATTAGTTGTCCATTTTATAGAGAACATGGGAAACTACTGATTCTAAACTGCAAAGCTCTGTACACTGAATGTCAGATGTTATCATTATAAGAGGTATCATTACTGTAGGCACAATAAGAAAAATTTGAAGACCCTGTAAGTTACTCCTTAAGTATGTATGATTATCCTGTGTCAATCACAACTTTTTAAATAAAAATTAACAGATAATGCAACCCCTTAAAACATACACACACAAAAGTCCAGATGCATGGTACACACTTGTAATTCCAGCTACTCATGAGGCTGAGGCAAGAGGATCACAAGTTTAATGCCAGTCTCAGCAATTTAGTAAATCCCTGCCTCAAAATAAAAAATTTTGGGCTGAGGATGTAGCTCAGGGCTTCCTGGCTTTAATCCCCCTACAAAAAACCAATTCCTTCCCAAAACTTTGCAATTTAAATTATAACGTGATGGGAATGTTTATTTTATAATTTTTGAAAGGGCTGTTATAAATTAAATCAGACATTTATTACTTTATCATAAATCATATACTTATACATGCAAAAATAAAAATAGAGTAAAAATAAATTGACTTAGGTATTTCTAAAACTTTTTCATATTCAGCATTTGATTCAAACTCTTTGATGTCTGTGTTTACTTGTGATATCATCTTCTATATTAAGAAGCTGATGATGTAGCATTTCTTTAAGCCATAAAGGAACTAAGTCACTGATACTGCCCTTCTAAAGTGGCTTTGCAATTACAGTTAGCATGCTTTTGACTCCTGTTTAAAGAATGTTGCTAAACATGTCTGATTCATTCCTTCTCCACAACCATTTGGCTCCTGGGAAGGGGGTGGGGAGATGGAAGGAAGGAAGGGAGAAGAGAAGAAGAGAAGAAGGGAAGAAAGAAAGAAAGAAAGAAAGAAAGAAAGAAAGAAAGAAAGAAAGAGCTCTCTTTTTTGCTAGGTTTTCTTCCAAGTCACTGCCATGCATTCTCCGCTGTCTTGCTGATGCCCACACTTGCACAATCCAATCCTAGTCATGGCTGTAGCAAGGTGGACTTACTACCGACTGTAACATGCATCTCAGTCTAACAGAAAATGTGCATCCACAAAGGGATTAAATAGGGTGAAATAGAAATTTTCTTTGCTACACGTTCAAACTGAGAATAATTCCTGAGGGACAGTAAAGAATAAGATTTTGCTAATAAAGCACACACATTTTTATAAAATTTTTTGGTGTTAAAAATGGTTCTGGTGACTGATTATCTCTATGGTCCAATACTTACTATTTTTTACCCCAAACCCCTTTCACCATAACACATAATTTTGCAAACTCCTTGAATCATTTTGACATTTTTGTGGCATAATGAAGAAGTAAATTTAAGTAAAATGCTTGATTATAGATGATCACATTACTAAAGATTATCAAATTCATTTAAAATATGGTTTTTAATATTTCATATATGTTTAGTACATACAATAAATTATATACTTTTCCCATCTGATTATAGACCCATACTGTTTTACTTACTTTTTATTTATTGTGTAGGAGAAACATTTCTTGACAATCAAGTTTAAAAGTAATCTTTTTTCTTTTTTGTGGTATTGGGTATTGGACCCAGGGCCTTTCCACTGAGCCCTTTTTTTAAAAATTTGGTACCAGGGATTGAACTTGGGACCTTACACTTTTGAGGCAGGCGTCAGAACCACTGAGCTAAATCCCAGGCCCTCCTGAGCCCTTTTTAAATTTTTATTTGGAGACAGAGTCTTGCTAAATAGCTAAAGTTGCCCAGGCTGGGCTCAAACTTGTGATCCTCCTGTCTTAGCCTACCAGAGTTCTGGGATTATAGATGTGTGTCACACTCAGCAAAATAATTCTTGTGTTTGGTTTAGGGACAGAATATACATTAAAATAATAATTGAAACTTAACTGTATTTATTTATGTCAAATTAGACAAAAAATTTTATAGCCTGTTATTTGTTTTGAACTTAACAACTGGACTATTCTTATAACTTTGTGGAAAAAACAAAGATAACACACTGAGCTTTGCAAGCAGGATTTTCTTTTCTCTCTCAAAAAACAGATTGTCTTGGGCCTGGAATTTAGCTCAGTAGTGCTGCTGCCTGCCTCAAAAGCACAAGGTCCTGAGTTTGATCCCCGGTACCACAAACAAAACAAAACAAAACAAAACAAAAAACAAAACAAAACAGATTGTCTTTATTCTTTCAGGTTGTATTTATTTTTTAAAAGTCAATAGAACATAATGGCTACAATTTTTCTTTTTACTGATTTTTGCTGCACAGAGACATTTTGATATGTGATTCATGAAGCTTGAGCAGATAAATGTAATTTATAAATCTGGTAAGGAGTGTCTTGAGATGGATTTTTAGAATTATTGTCATTTTAAAGATTCCTATTTAACTTGTATTTAAATATTCGTGTTGTTTTTTGCTTCCTATCTCTAAAACAACCAATACAAGACTTATAATTGAAACAACATACAGAAGAGAATAAAAGTGATGGAAACATGTCAAATGGCTAAAAACCACCCCGGTTGCTAGCAAGGCTCAAGTAAGAGACAAGTCAACTGGGAAATAGGTGGTCAGCACTACCAAATGGTCTCCAACCCTGTGCTTTCTCCATATGCACCTTTCATTTTGAAGTGAAATACATGTATGTGCATGCATACATGTAATTGGTTTATTACTTGGTTATAAAACCAGTACCTCCAACCAGTTCCCAAATACCTTCCATAAACCCCAGGGGCTCACAAACCACTTAAGAGTTGGAAGGTATTTTAAATAAAACACAAAACACATAGTTATTCTTAGGTTTAAACCTGTAGTCCCCCTCCCCCCTACCCCCAAGGCTTTCAGTGCCTAGGAAAAATTTGTTTGATACTGTTTTGTGCTGTATTAGTTAGCTTTTCCATTGTTGGTATAAAATACCCAATTCCCACAATTTAAAGGAGGAGAGATTTAATTTGGCTCATGGTTTTGGGAGCTTCAATCAGTGGTCTGTGGGGTTCAAGGCAGAAATGCTATGTTGGAAATGTATGACTGAGGAAAACTGCTCACCTTATGCCAGCAAGAATGTAGAGAGGGAAAGAGTGCTGGAGAGGAACAGGTGAGGTATCTTAATATAGTACTGAAAGTCACACTTTCATGACCTACCCAGACACACTCAGCAACAGCTTTACTAATTTACTAGGTGTTTCTTAAACCAATAAAATTGACAAATCAGGATTAACTGTCACAATCCACCATTTGTCAACTCACAATCAAGCACATCTCTGTAAACCACACTTTCTCTCGAAATAAAGACAGCAAGTCCAAGATTCCACCTAACACAATACAGCTATCCCATGTACAACTGGAAATGCAACAATCCCTTCCCCAAAGTTTCAAGAGTTCCAGAATTTTTGAAAACTCCAAGTACCTTCTGAGACACAAGGCAAACACTTAGTTGTGAATGTCTATAAAAATAAAAAGCAAGTAACACAATGCCAAGGTTCAAGGGCACAGGATAAACATTCCCATTACAAAAGGGAGAAATCAGGTAGAAAGAATCAGACCAAATCAAGACTGAAACCCAGAAAGGCAAACATTAGGTCCTGTAGCTCCATATCTGGCATCCAGGACACATGGTAGTAAAATATGAGTTCCAAAGGGCATAGGGGGCCCTACACCTATGGCCTTGCTGGTTGTAGCCCACATAGCCTCTCTGTTGGGCTGGTCTACTCACAACCTGCACCTTTCCTCAGCAGATGTTCCATGTTCATGGCATCTCTGACTTCCTGGGGTTTCCAATGCACCATTGGCTTAATTCCCACAGCTTCATGTACTGCATTCTCAGAGGCTCCTTGCCTGGCCTTCCAGATCTTCCTTGGAAATACAGGTAGGATCCTCCTTGACCTCACAATTCCTGCATTCTAAATGCCAGTAAAACCAGCATCATTTTCTCACTACAAATCTCGCTAAAAGCAGTCAGTAATACCTATGCTACAGCCCGAATGGTGGGCAGTCTTGAAATTTCATCTTTCAGATTGATTAGTTTACTGTCTTAATCTCAGTCTCCTGCAAAGTCTCAGGACATGAGCAAAATATAGACAAAATTTTTTGCCAGAGTGTAATACACATGGCCTGTAGCCCAATTTCCAATGGAGTCACTGTTCCCAACTGAAACCTCCTGAGTTTGGCCTTGACTATCTGCATTCCTATTAGCATTCTGGTCTTATGAGCTTTGACAAGAATCACCCATCAAGCTCTGTTTATAGCATTCTAGGGCTTCTCTAGCCTTCAAACCTTTCTAAACTCCTCCCACAAACCAGTTCCAAAGGCTTCTAAACCATATGATCAGGTACATCACATGAATGACCTCACTTCTCTAGTACCAATTTTCTGTAATAGTTTACTTTCTTTCCTATTTCTGGGATAAAATACCTTACATCCGCAATTTAAAGGAGGAATTTAATTTGCCTCGTGGTTTTGGGGTAGTCAGTCCATGGTCAGTTGGCTCCAAGGCATATGTGGCATGGTAAAAGGGCATGGCAGAAGAAACATGATC